ACAGAATCTCATTGTAGCTCTGATTTAAATTTCTCTAAGTCTCAAGACTGGAACATTTTTTCATATACTTGTTGGTGACTTATATTTGAGAATTTTCTGTTCAATTCATATACTACTGAGTGGATTACTTGGTTTTTTATTTGGGGGAGTTTTTGGTGTTAAGTTTTTCAAGGCCTTTAGATAGTCTAGATATTAATCCTCTCTCAGAGGAGTAGCTACTAAAGATTTTGTCTCATTTTGTCTGCTGTCTCTTCACTCTCTTAATAGTTTTTCTTTGCTGTGCAGCTTTTTAATTTGATGTAGTCCCATTTGTTGATTCTCAATATTATTTCCTACACTACTGAAGTCCTATTCAAAAAGTCTTTGCCTATGTCTATGGCTTCAAGTGTTTCCCATGTTTTCAATCAGCAGTTTCGAAGTTTCTAATCTTCTAAGTCTTTGATGTGATTTTAGTACAGAGAGGCAAGAATCTAGTTTCAATCTGCTACATGTGCATACTCGATTTTTTCTTAATACTATTTGTTAAAGAAACTAAAAATCCAGCATGTTTTTAGCTCCTTTATCAAAAATCAGATGGCTGTAAGAACATGAGTTTATTTCTGTACCTTCTGTTCTACTCTATTTTTCTACATAACTCTTTATGCCAGTACCCTCTTATGCTTTTTAGTTGCTGTTGCTGCTGTTGTTATTATTTCTTGTTGTTTTGTTTTTGGTAATACAGCTTTGTAGTACATATAGTTTGAAATCAGGTATCATGATGCCTCCAGTATTCCTCTTTTGCTCAGGCATACTTAGGGTCTTTTGTGTTTCCATATGAATTTTGGGGTTTTTTTCTAATTCTGTGATGAATGTTGTTATTATCTTAATAGAGGTCATACTGAATTTATAGATTACTTTTGGCGATATGGCCATTTTAGAATATTAATTCTGCCGAACCACGAACAAGAGAGGTTTTCTGTCTTCTAATGTCTTCTTCAATTTCTTTTTTCTGTGTTCACTATAGATTCTTTTACCTTCTTGGTTAGATTGATTCCAAGATACTTACTTTTGTAAGCTATTATAAATGGAACTGTTTTTTAATTACTGAGTTATAGAAAACCTATTAGATTTTGTGTGTTGGTTTTACATCCTGAAGCTAGGGGTTCTTAACAACATATATTCTTTAGGAGTATCAAAAATCTCTGATTTCCCATCAGGCTTTGTGGTGCATGCCTGTAATCCCTGCTCTCTATAGGCTGATACAGGAGAATCACCATGAATTTGAGGTCAGCCTGGCCTACAAATTGAGTTCAAAGCCAGCCTGAACTTTACAATGAGACTCTGTCTTATAAAAATAAAACAAAAAACTCTCCCATATTCCTAATGCTACCTAATGAACCCTAGCACATTATGAGCCCATTCCTTGCTTTTTTTCCTTTGACTGTCACATCATCCAGGATCCTGGAGTGAGTCACAACCTCTCCCACTGAATTCGTGACTCAGGTTCTTTTATGAGCTGTGCCTGCTCAATTCTGGGTGTGGTGTCATGTTTGGCACTAGCTCATCTGAGAATGCTGACATGGTAAATTCAACTATATTTAGGCTGGTTTATCCTGTAATTTTCCACTGTTTATTAGAATGAGCATAAGCATAATACTTAACTGTATGTTCTACACTTAACGTTATCAAGCCCTCTAAAAATGTCATGAGAAGACTTTCAACCATCTTCTAAGAGGCAGTACTGATACATCCCACACAGACTGCCTATCATATGGCATCCACCTTATCCAACTATACAACAGTAAGAGTATTATATTCCACCTGAGACTTCTAATTCAAATGTCCTATAATCACTGTAACACAAAAATAAGACAGATTTTTTAAAGTTCACATAAGGACAAATGTTCAGCTTCATACCTGCAAATGTTTATCTTTTATTAAGAATGTAAAAGAAAACTTACTTGATGACATCAAAGTTAATTTTCTCTCAAATAAAAAATCAATATGGATGGACATGGAAGCACACACCTGTAATCCTAACTTCAAGAGAAAAGAAGAAAAATTTGAAGGTCAAACCTAGTATGGGCAACTTAAAAAACTTAATGAAGAGACTCTACCTCAAAATTTAAAGAGGATAGTGATAAGCTCAATTGGAAGGCCCTGGGTTAAATCTCCAGTGTTATAATAAATATATACATACATGCATGCATACATACACACAACTTGACATGCAGAAGGGAAATGTAGTTAGCATAAACATGGCAAAATGCTAATAACTAATTACTGAATCTATGCTAATAATTTTTATTTCTATTTTTCAGTAAGAAATTTTTCTTAATTAAAAAACTAGGGCATCAGACAACTAAAGAACTTGATAGTCTCACACTAACACTGTCAGAGATCATAGAAATAAACAATTTACTGTTTATACTATCTAATTAATAGAAAACGAAGCCTCCCTGATTCTGCCCCACTTTATCACTTTTATCATCTTACATCAATCTGCCTACGTGCTCATAGGCCAGCCAGTACAGTATTGCCATATGCAAAACAATGGCATAGGGCTGGTTAGGAAAAGGAACACCCATCTAGCCACTGTAAGTCCCTATGATCTCTCATACTCATTTTGAATAGATGCTGATGAAGATAATCCCAGCCTCCAGCATGAAAGCACTTCCACTCTAAGAACAGAAAACTTACTGAGATAATCTTTTTTAATTTTCTAAATCCAAAACAAAAAAATACTGAATACAATCACATAAACCAAAGAAAAATAAAACAGTAAAGCAGATGCAGTTAAGTACAAAGTTCTATACCCTTAATGGCAAAGAGGGTTTTTTCCAACTCAGTAGTAGTGAGAAAAGAATTTGGTATGTGGTATTCTAATCAACACTGTGTTCTTTATAAGGTACAAATGTAAAATAATGTAAAGATAAAAACATTAAAAATTCAATAACTGACTTATTAAAAGGTCTAACTAATTTCTTGAACCTAATGTATTCCTATCAAAACTTTGCCTTTAGCACAGACTTTAAATATACTAAACACACTGTCCATATTTCCTTTCTTAAGTAATTTAGGAGGCAAAACCACTCAATAGAAAACAAAACTCTAGCAAATTAGATTAGGGGATTACTATTAACACAATAACTAGGAATATATATCATATTACTACTACAGCCTCCTTATGCAGTTTTTAACCAATCACTTAATTATATGTACATGCTAAAACTGAAAACAATATTGTTATAATTTATATGTAGATGTCCTCCCAAAGCCTCATGTACTTGAAGGTGGGGCTTTTGAGAGGTAACTGGATTTTGAGGTTTATATTTGACCTGCTGTTACAAGGTAGAGTCTGGCCAGAAGAGATGAACCAGAAGTGCAGGGAGGAAGGATCTATCTCCTTTCCTGGTTCTTTCCTTGACCTTCTGCTTCCTGAATGCCATGATGTATGTACTTTCCTCCACCCAGGCCTTTCTGCCATTCTGTTTCTGTGTTGAAACCTGCAGAACACAAACTTGGATCTTGTGAAACATAAGCAAAACAAAACTTTCCTCTTTTAAATTGCAGGCTTCAGGTAGTATGTTCCAGCAATGAAAAAGTGACTCAGAAAGACTTTGGTATCACAAGTCTGGTTGTTGTTATGCGAAAGGTTTGGCCCAGACAGGACACTGTAGCCAGGAAAGCCACAACCGGAAGCAGGAAGCCCCATCTTGCCCTGCCCCTAGGGAGTTACCTGTGACGCCATCTTCCCGCCCCTGGGAATTTACATATGGCGCCAAACCTAGGACCAATGGGCTACCTGTGTATCCCTAATGCCCGCCTTAGGTTCCACCCCAAACCGAGGCTATTTACAGGCCCCCACGCCGCGTGTCGGCCGGAGAGATCGCCGGACGCCAGCGGTGGGGGTTGCCGGTCATCTCTCTCCGTGTTCTCAGAATAAAGGCCGCTTTTTATTTTATATTTCTCATCTTTTGTTAATATTTTTCATCTTTTGGAAATAACTCTATCATTTGGTGCCGTGACTCGATCGGCAGGCAACTAATTCTTGGGCCACATACCCAGAGTTTCCTCGCCGATAATCAGATAACATCCTGGATTAATCCCGAGCTTTTTCCTCTCCCGAGACGTTCCTGTCGCCAGCCGCCTGCACTCCGCATCGGCCAGACTGATTTCAGGTGAGCACTCCCCGGGGAACTTTTCGCACTGGGCAGCCCCAGTGGAATGTTCTCCCCGTCTGCGTGGGTCTGTGCATTTTCACGTCCTTAGGACCGCCCAGGGCAGGGTTCTTTCTGGGCAAACCTGCGCCCACAAAATCTCTCACGTTCTTTGGGTTCGGATAGCCCAAAGCAGAGATTTTTGGGACCGCCCACACTGAAAGAATGCCTCACTTCCCTTAAAGCCTTGCGCTTTCACGGGCAAAACTGTTACTGACCCCACGTAGACTCCATTCGTAAATCTCTCAGTGACGACTGGAGTTTACGGTTTGGAACCGTAGCTGCCGCGTGGTACCACAAATAAGTGACGACTTTTTTCTGGACCTCCGGTTTTTTTTCTTGCCGGAATCAGTCATGGGGAACGTATTTTCTAACTCCCAAAAGACGCCTTTAAAATGCCTAATTTCCAATTTACGTACTCTAAAAATTAAAGGTACCATAAAAACTAAACAACTAACTTTTTACTGCCAGGAGGTCTGGCCAACCTACCCGCTTATCGGCAAGCCTTGGCCTCGGCAAGGAACATTTGACCCTTGCATTCTCAGGAACTTGTATGATTTTTGTCAAGCTGGCAACAAGTTATTGGAACTCCCTTATGTCCAAGCCTTTCTTATTCTGAGAACACGCCCATCTCTCATTAAGTCTTGTGCTCTCGCTGAGATACTTTTAGCTAAGTCTACTGCGCCGCAAACTTTTCCGTCCTGCTCTCCGTTTTCCCAGCCGCCGCCTGCCTACCACCAAACTTGTTCCCTGCCGTTACCTCCCGCCAGACCGCGCTCTCCTCCCCCTATGCCCGATTCTCTCAGCAGCTCTAATCCCTCTCTGTTGCAGATACCTCCCGCTGTGCGATCATCTCCCTCTCCACCTTCCAGGACCCATAACTCTCCCAGCAGCTCTAATCCCTCTGTGTCGCAGTTATCTCCCGATGTTCAATCCTCTCTCCCTCCGTCTCCAGGGACCCATATCTCTCCCAGCGGCTCTGATCTCTCTGTTAGTGCTTCCTCACAGTCTCTGACTTCTCCTGAGAATTCTGTATCCCCTACAGCATTCTCACCACCCGCCCACCATACTAGGTCTCGGTCGCTGTGTCCTTCCAGCAGGTCGCATGATTGTTCCAGCTTGCGCGGGGAACAGTCGCCATGTTGCAACCCTCTGCCACGTGGCATGGCGCCGCCATGTTCCGGAGGGCCACATGGCGACAGGGCGCCGCCATGTTTCGGGCCACGTGACAGGGCGCCGCCATGTTCCCAGGCACCGCCATGTTTTGGGTCACGTGACAGGGCGCCGCCATGTTCCCAGGACCCTCACTGTCAACAGGCGTCTCCTTGTGGCTCCTCTTGTGAACTACAACAGCCGCCCTGTTGCAGTGCACATGACGCTTCATTGTGCTGCCGACAGCAGTCCTCTAGCTGCGAGGCACACAGTGAGACGCCATCTGCTCGTGTTTCCCAGGGTGACCGGCAGCAGCTCTGTAGTCACTCTACAGATGATTGCTCACACGCGCCTACCGGAAGGATGGCTGCTCAGTGGCCCTCTGCTCCGGAATCTCCTCAGGCTCTGCTACCGCTTCGGGAGCAAGCTGGCCCCAAGGAGCTTGTTAACATCCATGTGCCTTTTTCCCTTTCTGATCTATCCCAGACTGCCCATAAATTAGGTAGCTTTTCTGTTGACCCACAGAATTATATCAGGCAATTTAAATTCATTACTAATTGTTATGATTTACGTTTTAAGGATGTTTATGTGATTCTAGATACCTCTCTCATCTCACAAGAATGGAATCAGCTGTGGCAAGCAGTTCGAGAAAAAGCTGATCACAGACCTGAGGTAAACACCGCTGGTAATGACTCTAGGCCTATAGCTGTGCCAGAGCAGGACAAGCATACTAACTATAACAAACTTTTAAAACAGGTCCAGGAAGCTAATCAAAACCCAGCTGTGTTCCTAAATTGGCTTTCTAATCCTCGAGCCCTGCAAGCAGTTCCAGCTTTGCGAGCTGTGTCGGGCCGCCTCCCAGCCCCTCCCCCATGCGCCGTCCCAGCCCCTCCCTCCCCCATGCGCCGTCGCCGCCGCTGCCACCTTACACGTTTCCGGGGGCAGTCCGAGCCCGCCCCTGCGCGCTACATCCCAGCGCTTGCCCCACCCACTGGGCGTGCTCTGCCGGAGCGCTGCGAAACAGCAGCTCAGCGGCTCTGCTCAAAAGATGCTTTTTTATTACAGTTCTCAAACCATTTAATCAAGGTTATTGGCCACCTGATAATTTTACCAGCCTTGTTTATCAATCAAAGCCTTCACCAATCTCCTGTTTAACAACTAAGGTTATAAATTCCTTTTTGCTGGGAACCACTAGCTCTATTTCAAGACAAGGGTTTTCTTCAAAGTTTTATTTTATTTGTCTTGGTTCATACTACTGCAAATAACAACTTTAAAAGTAAATGTGTTCAGAATTTGACAGTATTAGATCAGTTTTGATTGATTTATTCATAAGATTGCTAAACCTTTACTGCAAAATGTTTCCATTAAAGCCTTGTTTGGCAGACTAAAGCTTTGTTAATTCTACGTGTCACCCTATAAAAAGCAATGTGCCATCCAGATAAAGCCTGCTCTTTAATCCAAAATGCCAATATTAAATTCCTGCATACTTACTTAATTGTACTGTAGTCCAAATCCCAAACAAAAAGGCAAAACTTGACCTTCAAACCTTATAGAGATCTTAATATGTTTTTTTTATATTTTTAACACTTGTGACACTTGGAGTTCTGAGACAGGTAAACCTACACAAGGTGGAGCTGCCTGCCCTCTCCATGGACCACGCTCAAATGCAGCAGAAGATACTGGGCAAGAAAATGCCCCATCCTGGCATTCTTTGAGACCTTACTCCAGGGCTACTGGACTGTCCTAGCCACCAGAGAGTGGGTAAGTCATCATAGCCCTCATAGGAAATGTCAACACTGCCAGATTCGTCACCGACAGAAAATCGCTGCTGGAGGCTGAGGGGGTTCAGGGCAACAACAGCCCCCTTTAAGGTGTCCGTCTCAGATTCCAAGTCGCACTAAAGTCTCAGGTAAGACATTCTCTATATTTGTGGACATAGAGGCCATATATACAGAGGTCTTCCTGAGTATTCAGGCTGCTATATTAAGTCCTCAATCTCTATGACAAGGTATTGATGGTCAACCTATGCCATTTACAAACAGGGCCTATTTTGTGCAGGTCCCAGTCCTAAATCTTAAAATGCCTTTTACTTAGACACACTGAGGCCTCAACACCTGTTGTTGCTGGTGGACCCTTCCTCAGTGATATAGACCCCCCCCCTCCTATTTTTTTTCACCAATTTCTCAGGTATCCCTGGTCAAGACTGACAGATACATTTTGTCTTCTCACTTTGTTTATACTTTTTCAGGAGACATAAAAGCCTTTCTCATACTTGCTAAAGTTCTGTTACAGCAAATCATTCCAAGGACTACAACCAGGATACAGCGACCCATGCCCAAATCAAAGTTGCTGGACTGCCATCCTGGTTTCACATCGCTCAGGCTAAGAGGTGCCCTTCCAGCCCTAAATCTGATCATTCTGAGTTGTCATCTCATCTTCTGTTGCCTACCCGTCTCCATCTCACAAAGGCCTCACAGCCACAGTTAACAGGCTAAGTCATGTTTTGTTATCCAATTTGGTTCCTAATTTCTTACATTCTATTAATGATCATTTTTACAGCAGGACTCTTTAACAGTATTGCCTACAGACTCCAACATCATGCATACCAGAGACAAGCCTTACCAACCTACTGTCTTAACTTTTATGCTTTCAGATGGAGGAGTAATCACCTCTCATAACTCTCAACTCCACTCCTCCTAACCCCACGTTTAATTTTCAGAATTCTGCCTCACCATGGAAATGTTTCTACCTCAACATGGTCCTGATAAAATGATATGTCTAAATCAAAGGCACCTTTCCCTTTACCTCACCTGGGTCCTTAAATATGACAGTGCCATGTCTCCTCATAACATTTTGTCTCTTTGTTTTTCCAGTCTGACATACGTGCATTCACCAGTGAAGCTGTCCTGGCCAAAACACCTGGCACCAGCGTCTACCTGGGCATCAACCTTCATCCCGTCGACTCCCCAGGCTCCAGTACAGCGCCCTTTGCCAGCAGGAAGTAGTTAAAGAGAGAAATCTTCGCCCCTTTTCATAATAATAACCATAAGACGGGATATGAAAGGTTTGGCCCAGACAGGACACTGTAGCCAGGAAAGCCACAACCGGAAGCAGGAAGCCCCATCTTGCCCTGCCCCTAGGAAGTTACCTGTGACGCCATCTTCCCGCCCCTGGGAATTTACATATGGCGCCAAACCTAGGACCAATGGGCTACCTGTGTATCCCTAATGCCCGCCTTAGGTTCCACCCCAAACCAAGGCTATTTACAGGCCCCCACGCCGCGTGTCGGCCGGAGAGATCGCCGGACGCCAGCGGTGGGGGTTGCCGGTCATCTCTCTCCGTGTTCTCAGAATAAAGGCCGCTTTTTATTTTATATTTCTCATCTTTTGTTAATATTTTTCATCTTTTGGAAATAACTCTATCATTATGATCCTACCTCACTATGTAATTCAGAATCTTGTGGAAGTGGTTCTCAAGAGGTAACACTCAAGGGATTTGGAGATGCTGAAAAAGCTCTGGGATGCTAATAAGCTGAGCTTGATGGCAGATTCTGGCATAGTTCTAAACAGCAGAATGCTAATAAATATGCAGACAGTAAAGACCAAGATTAAGAGTTTTCTTTTGGGAACAAGGACGCTAGTAGTAGTTGGACTCCAGGCCAAGAGTATTATAATCAGAAAGAAAAAAATTTGTATGTCCCAAAACGTTGCAGGAAACTGAAATTAAGAGTGGTGGCTAAATCTGGAGGTAATTCCAAGGCAGCACAACATTCAGGTTGTAGCATGAGTACTATTGGTGGCTTTTAGCCTGCTTCACATTGAGAATCAAGGAAAAAGCCCATTTAAAAGGTTTTAGTTTGTAAGAAAGGAAATACCTGCAAATGCAATGCAAAAGAGAGCTAGATTGCTGGGGGCTGGGGGCTGAGGACTGGGGGCTGGGGGTTGGGAACAGGAATATGCATTAAAAAGAAGCCAAGTACTCTGGATCAAGACCATAGAAAAAATGGCTTGAGGATATGTCAGAAAACAACAAGAACCCTCCCTTTACAGCTCAAGGCTATGAAGTTTCAATTTGAGAATAAAATCCCAGAGCACTGTATTGCAGAAGGGCCTCTTGGGTTCAGTTTACACTGCTCAGCCACACAGGCACTTAAGAGTCTCTCCAGCCATGATGCAAAAGCACCTGACTACTGCTCAAACTGGCAGGAGATCTTGGCATCATCCACATGGTGCTACTTTTACAGGCACAAAAAAATGCAAGAGTTGTAAAGTTACAGAGGATTTCAGCCAGATGTCAGAAAAAAATATGAGAGTCCAGGCAGTGTGCCCCTAAGAAGGCAGTGTGTAAATTTGTGAAAGGGAAGCTCAAAGAGCAGTGGAGGCCCCAGAAAATTAGACAAGCCAGGAACATGGAAAACATCTGATAAAAGTGGAATGAGGCAAGCAAATCCAGTCTCAGAGAGAAGCCATGAGGGTTACAACTGCTGGAAAGGCAACCCAAGCCCTTTGGGGCTCACATATAACCAGTTTTTCCCATTGCTGGACATGGAGCTACTACAGGATTTGATGTGCGCTTGGTTTCAGATTTTCTTTGGTCTCACTGTTTTCTATTCTCTTCTTTCCCCTTTCTGGAATGGAATGTTTATCCTGTACAACTGTACATCACTAATGTTTAATTTCTTTTTTATTTTGTAGGAGATCACAGTCAATAATTTGTTTTGAGAGCTGGGAATATAGCGTAGCAGCACAAGTGCCTGCTTGGCAAGCACAAGATCCTGCGTTTGAGTTCCAGTATAAAAAAGAGAGTCAGAGAGAGAGAGAGAGAGAGAGAGAGGAGGAAAGAGAAAGAAAAAGAAAAAAGACTGCTTTGAGTCTCAGAAGAGACTTGGGACATGTACTCTAAAGCACTGGTGAAACTGTTAAGACTTCAGCAATTGTCAGAGATGGACTAAATGTACTTTATATAACGAGATGTGCTTGAGTCTTATGAGGAGGCCAGGGCCAGAATTTTATAGCTTATAACTGAAAGGTTTTGGCCCAGATAGGACACTGTAGCCAGGAAAGCCACAGCCGGAAGCAGGAAGCCCCATCTTGCCCTGCCCCTAGGAAGTTACCTGTGACGCCATCTTCCCGCCCCTGGGAATTTACATATGGTGCCAAACCTAGGACCAATGGGCTACCTGTGTATCCCTAATGCCCGCCTTAGGTTCCACCCCAAACCGAGGCTATTTACAGGCCCCCACGCCACGTGTCTGCCGGAGAGATCGCCGGACGCCAGCGGTGGGGTTGCCGGTCATCTCTCTCCGTGTTCTCAGAATAAAGGCCGCTTTTTATTTTATATTTCTCATCTTTTGTTAATATTTTTCATCTTTTAGAAATAACTCTATCAATAACTAGATGCCCCCAAAAAAGCCTTTATGCAATCCTTTTAAAAGAATTATTAGGGAATTACAGATCATTAGGTTTTTAGGAGGTGGGGCCCCATCAGAAAAGGCAGATCCTATCCCAGGTCCTTCTCTAACTGCTTCCTAGATGCAAGGACAAGCAGCTTCCTCTCCTATGCCCCTCTGCCATGCCATACTGCCTTGGACTATAATCATGAGCCAAAATAAGCCTATCTTCCTTTAAGTTGTAGGTGTCAGATATTGTGTCTAGCAATGAAAAAAGTGACTAAGATAAATACTAGCCAAACTTTCTGACCTGAAAATACACCTATTAAAAATAAATTTAAAATGAAGGGCTACATAAATGATAATTAAAAAGTAGTAATGATGTGAGAACAAATACAGTTGGATGCCCAAAGACTATATATTTTCAAAAACTAATGGATAAGCAATCTTTGATGAAATCATTCTTTTAATCTTTTGAGTATACTATAAGTCTGAATGCAAACCATCAAATCTAGACTCACTACACAATAAACATCAAAGACAATGATCATATATAAAACTGATCTGAGATGTAATTCAGCAGCCAGCCCTGTAATTCTTGGTGTATAATCTTCCTTCTACTGGGGTGTCTATGTTATTGGGGATTGAACCCAAGGGCTCATGAATGCTCAGCAAGTGCTGTAACACTGAGCTATTATATCCCCAGCCCTACCTGTAATCTTGGTTTCACAGAAATTTAGATAACCAAATAATCTCCCAAAATCTAAGTTGCAGCATATTATTGCAAGACTCTATTGAATTAGCATTAATCCTGAAGGCTTAGAAAAAATCGATTTAGTATAACCAGATTTTGTTGCACAGCCATGAAATGTGCATATTTGCATATGCAATGAATACAGATTAACAAGTATTTTCTGAAAATTTTCAAGTCAAATTTAATTATTACTCTCAGCATAGCCAAAAAAAAAAAGCACTTGGTTAAAACCCAAACCTCTACTTATTACTCTCTAGAACCCTGTGAAACATACCTAACTGGATGTAAAATAGTGTCAGTAACACCTAAGCCAAGACACAATGGGTTAGAGATTGAAGCAAAGATGGTGGATAGATAACAGCTGGCTACAGAGGCTCCCTGAGATAGTCAATTTAGAATTCA